GGGATTTCCTGCCTCCTCCTGCTCCCCTACAGCTGTGCCACAAGGTAGGAGAAAGGAGGAAAGCTCATAAAGCAGAATTAAGGCAAGATGCTCTGTAGAGCATCCCTGATTCATCATTTTCCTTTCATTTTGAGGGACCCCCATCCTCCCCTGTTCCACACAGCCCCAAAGCACAGCTCACCTTCCCCATCCCAAGCATGCAACACGTGTCAGCTCTCCAAGGAACGCTGGGCTTCATTAAATTCAGGTCACTAAACTCCAGGGGAGCACCCAGGCACTGGCAGGGATCTCTCATTGTCTGCACAGCTGCAGGAGCAGCTCCAGACACGGAAGAAGCTGAAATCTGATGTGTAATAACTCCACCTAGAGGGAAAAGGGACTGGGAGAGAAGGGCCACGGGTGAGCACAGCAGGGCTGAGCACATTCCCATCCTGGCACAGAGAAGGGATGGCCACTGGGACAACAGTGGCATGGTCACAGAATTGTGGCATCACAGAAGGGATGGGGCATCAGGTGACAGTCAGGGGGCAAATGCCATCTTGGTGCCACCTTGGTGGAAGGGGAAAAGGCAGAAGCTGCTATTTACTCACTAATCCAGGAGAACAGCCTATGGAACCCACAGTGTGCTCATTTAGTACAGGAAGATCTGTCATCCTCAGTGCTCTGCCTGTGGCTGATGGGAAAATGTCCTTTTACCCCAAATGTCCAGAGTCACCTGCAGTGTGCACACCCCTGGACCTGCAGCACTCTGGGATCAGAAGCACCATTTGGGCTGCATCCCCCATTTCCCACCCCAAGGCCAGATTTGTGCTGGATCTGATCCCAGCTCCAATTTTTTTGGGATGAGGCGATACTATTTTACTTCCCATAAAACAGCCACATCCAAAGGAGGGTGAGACCCATAATTAAGTTGGAGCATTTTTTGTTGTATTTTTAAAGCCTTGACTCGGACTCTGAGCCAGGATATTGGAGCATTAATAAGGGGAGATGTTGTCAGCTTTAGGTAGGGATTTTCTCCGTGAAAAAAAAGTGGGTTTGGGACATGGGCAGGAAAGATGGGAAAACCTGGAGACACCAAACACTCCTGTATTTTTAAAGCCTTGACTCGGACTCTGAGCCAGGATATTGGAGCATTAATAAGGGGAGATGTTGTCAGCTTTAGGTAGGGATTTTCTCAAAAAAAAAAAAGTGGGTTTGGGAAATGGGCAGGAAAGATGGGAAAACCTGAAGACACCAAACACTCTCAGCCTCCATGGATGGCAGGCTGGGGCTGCAACACCCCTGTGGCTCTGAAGACTTTCTGGGCAGTTAAATTACATTTGGCTGCTTGTTTAAAGATGGGATAATTATTTCCAGCGAGGCAGACATGGTCCAGATGCACTTCTCCTTCCATAACTGCACTAACACTATCCCAAACCCCAAGGAAATGCCATTTTCCAGGCCCAGGAAGCCATCTGGATGGCAGCAGAGCTTTGCCAGGTTTCCTCTTGACTTTATTAAGCTGGAGCAGATATTTAGTATCTCATTATCTGTCTGCAGGAAACACTTGGGGAGACAGAGCAGCATCTTTCTCTCCAGGAGATAAACAGGCACTGCATCCTCTGCAAAATCCAGGTGTCTGGAGCTGGTTTGTGCAGCTCTTCTGACATTTCCACCCCTCAGGATTTGTTTGTGGCTGGGTACAGCCCTGGCTGTGAGAGGTTAAAAGGGCCAAAGAGGCCGATCCCTGGGTATTCCAAGCCCTGAGCATGTTTCCAAAACAGAATGTAAACACTTTTATTGCGGCAAGGATTCCTCTGCTCTTCCTGCCTTGTGTCATGCAGCCGAAGGAAAAGGAGAGCACTTTTTCTCTCCTCATAAAGCCGGGTGTGTTCAGGCTCTGACACTGACATCAAACAAGTGCATGGCTCCCTTCCCATCTTTCTGGCTGTCCCACAGTCATGGATTTGCAATTTCCCTGCTGACAAATCCAGAGCAGCCAAAGGAGATCACTTTGCTGGAGTTTTGGGAGTTTTTTTCCCCACTGCAACAGAAAATGTCACAGTGGAACAGGCAGAGAGGAGATGTGGAAATGAGGAAGCAGTGGAAAGGTGTTATTTCAACTTTCCCCTTGGTCTTCAGCAGCCAAATCCTGGCCTCAGAGATAGCAGGGAGCTGTGGATCCTTGTCGGCCTTGGAAAGAATTCCAGAATATCCTGAGCTGGAAGGGACCCCCAAGGACCAGCTCCCTGGAAGGTGCCTGTGCTCATCTGGGGTTGGTCTCCTTCTCCAGGCAGCACTGACAGAACCAGGGGACACAGCCTCAAGCTGTGCCAAGGGAAATACAGGCTGGATATCAGTTTTTTTACAGAAAGGGTGGTAAAGTTCTGGAATGGCTGCCTGGGGAGGTGGTGCAGTCACCATCCCTGGTGTGTTTAACAAAGCCTGGATGTGGCACTGGGAGCCAGGGTTGGGGTGAGCTCTTGGGGCTGGGCTGGACTCCATGATCCTGAAGGTCTCTCCTGACCCAGGGATTCTGTGAATTCTGTGGATCAGAGTCCAGCTCCTGGTCCTGCCCAGACCCCCCAACAATCCCACCCTGGGCATCCCTGGCAGTGGTGTCCAAACCCCCCTGGAGCTCTGGCAGCCTCAGGGCTGTGCCCATTCCCTGGGCACTGCCAGCACCCTCTGGATGAACAACCCTTCCCTAATATCCAGTTCGACTCCCCTGGCACAGCTCCAGCCCTTCCCTGGGTCCTGTCCCTGCTCAGCAGAGAAGGAGCAAAGCCCATTTCATGTGTGGACTCAGCAAAAGTGGCTGATCCCTGATCCAGTTTTTCCCATCCTGGGAACACCAATCAATGTAATGGAGCTGTTGGAGTGAGTCCAAGATGATCAGAGGGATGGAGCAGCTCTCCTACAAGGAAAGGCTGGGAGAATTGGGATTGTTCAGCCTGGAAGAGACTTCAGGGTGACCTAATTGCAGCATCCAGTGCCTGAAGGGAGCCTACAAAAAACATGGAGAAAGATTATTTACAAGGGCCTGCAATGACAAGGAAGGTTTTCCCATCCAGATCATTCCCCTGCTCTGGTTTAGACTCTTGCTGCTAAAAAATCCACATGGAAAAAGATTTGTCAGCTTCTGTGCCAGGACAGCACTGGTCTCCAGGACTGACAAACTCAGCCTTGCTGGGGCAGAGCAAGAGTTTTAACCAAAATAAAGGATTTTCCCCTCGTTTTTCAGCATTCCACTGCTGCACAGGAGCGCTGGAGGCTGGAAGCTGAGTTACACACACAAAGTGCACTGCCCAGCTGCTAAACCCCACAGGCCAGATGCACCTGCTGGCTCAGGATGTCCCTCCACAGGCATTGCAGGAAACTGGGAGGATGCTCCTGGAGAAGAACTGCCCAAAAACCGCTGCATTCCCGCTGCAGGTGCAGGAGCTCTGCTCTGAGCCTCCGTGGGGAAAGCTGGGCTGACCCCATGTGGTCGTGGCCTTGTTATGGCCTGGCTTTGGTTTCAGAAAGCATTGATTTTCCACTCTTACTCACACAAAGTGTAAAATCTACCTCAAATCCATAAAATCTTTCCATCCAGGAGAAGGCACTGTGGTGGGAGTTAAGCTAAACCTCTGTCTGGCATTTTTCACCCCATGGGAATGTGTCCACACTCCGTGTCCCTGTTCAACCAGGCAAAGCAGCACAATAAAATATTCATTTTTAGCATGGATGGGACATTTCCACTCCTCTGAATCCCTCAAAACAAATGAGAGGGGACAGGAGGGGAAACTCACACCCAGTTTGTGCCTTTCCCTCACAATAAAAGGTTAAATATTGCAGTGTTCATCTGGCTGCTGTCTGGGAGCTTCGCCCCCAGATTTTGGGTGTGGAAGGTCAGGGTGTGTCATCTGGTCACTCTGGGCCTGAAGAAGGCAAAAAATAAGGAATGTTGATTGTTTCCATGGTGACAGAATGATTCATTCTGATGGTAAAATAACAGGGGAGATACATGGAAAATGAGAATCATGTCTCAGAAGTGTTTTGTGTAATTTTTTGCGTTCACCAGTTCTCCTGCTGCAGGCTACGTGCGTGCCCTGACCTCAGCTATTCGTAAAACCGTCTCTTGAGATGACCCCAAAGTTGAGGGTTTTTACTGAAAAGGAATTGAAAGCCTTACTCATGAAGTCTGTCAGCCTTGGAGGCTGAACAAGGCCCATCCCTGCACAGGTCCTGTCCAAGCAGAGCAATGGAGCCTCCAAAAAAATCCCAGAGATAAAAACGATCAAAGTGAGGGCCTGGAGGGACAGGGTGGGAGGCAATGGCTTTAAACTGGAAGAGGATGGGTTTAGATGGGATATTGGGAAGGAATTGTTCCCTGTGAGGGTGGGCAGGCCTCAGCTGTGGCTGCCCCTGGATCCCTGGAATGCCCAAGGCCAGGCTGGATGGGGCTTGGAGCAACCTGAGATGGTGGAAGGTGTCCCTGCCCATGGCCGGAGCTGGAACAAGAACATCTTTAAAGGTCCTTTCCCACCCAACCCAGTCTGGAATTCCATGATTCTAAAATTCCAAACCCATCAAACGCCTCAGCCTTGGCATCCCTGAGGGGGTGCAAGGGGTGTGTGTGTGTGTGTGTGTCGTGCCTCGTTGCCTTCTCCCTTCCCCTCGCAGAGCCCACTGGGACTTTTGTGAAGGTGAAAATCCCTTCAGGCGGCGGGAAGAGCGGCGGCAGCACCGAACCGCGACAAGACCCGACATCACCACACGGCACCGCCCGCCATCTTGGCGGGGCCCTGAGGGGGGCGGGAGGGGCGTGGCCTCACCAGTCAGGGGGCGTGTCCACGGCTCTCCCGCCCAATCCGCGCGAGGGAGAGAGCCGGGCCCTAAAGGTCGCGAGGCCGGCTGAGGGGCCGTGGAGGGGCGTGGCCAGAGGGCGGAGCTCGGCGGCGATTGGCTGCGGCCGGCTGCGGTCGGCTGCGATTGGCTGCGCGCTGGCGGGCGGGCGCGCGCGCGCCGGGCCGGGCCCGGCCCCGCCCACCCCCTTGCCACGTCCGTGCGGCGCGTGCGGCGGGGCCGGCGCGCGCGGGTGAGTGCGGGCAGCGGCCCTGAGGGGCTGCGGGAGGGAAGGGTCCCCTCATGAGGGGTCGGTCCCCTCTGAGGGGTCGGTCTGGGGACGGGTCCCACCCCCGAGGGGCTGCTTTAGCTCAGGGGCGCTGCGGGGACACCGCTGAGGGGCTGCGCGTGTGTGGCGGGTTGATATGACCGCCCCGAAGCGGGATGCACCTCCAGCGAGGGGCTGCGGGTGGAGTGAGGGGTGCCCTGAGTAGGGCGCGTGTGAGTTGAGGGGCTGGTTTGGGGAAGGTCCTGCCCCCGAGGGGCAGCCTCAGCTGAGGGGAGCTCACCCCCGAGAGGCCGTGTGTGGGGTGAGGGGGTGTGGGACCCCCCGAGGTTCTGTGTGAGGTGAGGAGAACCCCCCGAAGGGCTGCGTGTCGAGGGGATCCCCTCAAGGCCCTGTGTGAGGTGGGGACAGCCCCTCCGGAGGTTGGTCTGTCCCGCGGGGCTGCTTCAGCTGAGCAGAGCCCTGGGGACCCTGCAGGGGCACAGCTGGGCTCTGTCACCCCGTGCCCCAAAGCTGGGGGGCTGGCAGAGGTCTGGCCGAGCACCCACTGACCCTCCCGGGGGGTTTGGGGGTGTCCCCCGGGATGGCAGCTCAGCTCAGGGGGTCCCTGGCCATACCCTGCTCCCAACACATGTGGGGACCAGGATGACCCACAGGCCTGAGCTCTCCTTCCCTGCGCCTCAATCCTTTTTTCTTGTTTTTCATTGACATTATCCTAAATCATATTCCTGCCTCCAGAAAATGAGTATAACTTGCAACTCCGTCCTGCTCCAGCTGTGCCAGAAGTATTTGGGAAAGTGACTCTTAGTTGGTCACTAATTGCTCATAGAGCATTGAAAATTGTATTTTCTCTTTGTGCTTTTCTCTTGGTGTGCTGTAACCCTGAGCTGGAGTTTGAGGTTTGCTTTATTCTGTACAGACGCTGTTTGAATGTTGATATGGACATTTGGGAATTCTGGGGGACAGAGGAAAAGTGACATTAGACTGGTTGAGCTGCAGGAACAGAGAAATCTGTAGGAATGTTTCTCTTTGCAATTCATCTTTCCCGCTGTTTCATTTTGAAAATTCACATGGGGTGAGAGTTTGTGTTGCTGTTGAATTGCTGTAACAGCAAATGTTTTTACTTTTATATGCAAAATCAGGGTGATAGCTGAGATTCAAAGGCCAGTGTGTACCAGCAGGTGGCATAAAAAAAAGATTTTGTGTTGGTTTTTTTTTTTAGTTAAGAAATTTCAGTTGGGTTTCTGGAGCCACTTTCACTTTTGAGGCTCATTACACTGTGATGCTTCACAGCAAACATTCTGTTCTTTCTTTGGGCTGTGAGGTGTCTTACTTTAAAAAGTGTCATCCTAAACAGTTTTTTCTTTCTGCTGTTTGGCCTGACCACTAGTGTGTGGCTGCTGTATTGATGGTGCAGCTAAGGCAATCTGAAGATTTATAAAGAAATTGGAAGTTTTCATGAGCTCTGCTCATACCAGAACCCTGACCAGGTATTCCACAGGGGACAGAATAAGAATTATTTTCCTTTATCGTTGAATTTATCACAGAATTCCAGAATTGGAAGGGACCTTAAAGCCCATCTCAGTGCACCTCCTGCCTGGGCAGGGACACCTTCCACTCTCCCAGGCAGCTCCAAGCCCTGTCCAACCTGGCCTTGAACACACCAAGGAAGAACCTCCCTTTGTCACCCGGAATAACCCAAGCTCTTCAATCATTAACAGGTGTCTCCCTGTCACCTTGGCCCTGTTTCATGGCCACTGTGGGGCTGTGCTTGGCAGCTGGGCTCTGCAAACACACAGAGCACACAGGACAGCCCGGGAGGGGCAGGCTGGGCTGGGCTGTGCCATCACCTGCTGTGGGATGGGCACATTAAATATTTGTGGGGTGGGACTGCTTGGGAAAAAGGGCACTATTCCCACAGCAGGTTTGCAGTTGAACAGCAGTGCAGGTGAGGGCTAGACAGGTTGCTGGGAGGTTTTTTGAGGGTGATGCTTTCCTTCCCAAAGGGCTGTGGAGTTAAATGCCCTCCTCAGAGCCTTTGAGGCTGGACTTTCCCAGGATAAACACACGAGCTCCGTGCGCTGGCTCACCTCTGCTGAAGGCTGAGCAGATGAAGTGAACAGCAGTGTATTCACCCTCCTGGAAATCCTGGAAATCCCTGAGGCAAATCCCATGGCATGCTACAGGGGGAACAGCTTATTTAGAGGTTAAACCACACCTCACCTGTTCCATTCCAGATCTCTGTCTGCAGCCATGATGCCCGTGGCCACCGTGATGCCCGATGACACGCCCATGTTTGACCCCAGGATCCTGCAGGAACTCGACTGGAGTGAGAACACCACGACCTTTTCTCCTGCTATTTCTCCACTGGATCCAGGGGATGGGCTGGTCCTGAGACCACTTTGCACAGCTGATTTAAATCGAGGTAGAATCCTGGTTTATTGCTGCCAGAAATGACAGTGGGGCACTGAGCTGGTAACTTGTGTTTCTGTAGGAGCTTTCAGTAGATTGGGATTGCTCATTTTTCCTGATTTGGGTTATTTTTATCAGTAAACAATTTGATGGAATTTTAGAGCATCCTGAGTTGCAAATGACCCATGGGGATCATTGAGTCCAACCCCTGAACCTGCACAGGACACCCCAACAATGCCACCCTGAGCCTTGTCCTAACATCCCTTGGGCTCTGGTAGCCTTGGGGCTGTGACCATGTCCTGCTTTGTCCTGTGTGACCACATCCCTGAATTTGAGCTTTTGGCATCATGGATTGGTGCTGTATTGGGTGACCCTGAAAATTTGGCTTACTGTTTTAATTCTAAAATTCAAGTAAAACCTTCCAAATAATCCACAAGTTCCCATTCACCATGGTTTTGGAGAGGGAGCACAGTTGTTCATACTGTAGCCTTTAATATCAAAACAGCATGAACAAGCATCTTGGTGCATGAATTCTCCTTCAGTTCTGGAATTTGGATTAAAAGGTTGCTTTGGACTCATTATTCCAGGCTCACTTGAGCTTTAGCCAATAATTCAATATTTTTCCATCCCATTGCAATGTGATGGTGCCATGGTCCCACTCCAAACAGCTGTGTTGGATTGTTTGTGTGTCTGTCCCTCACTGAGAGTTGTTTTCCCCCTCCTTTCCTGCCAGGCTTTTTCAAGGTTCTGGGTCAGCTGACAGAAACAGGAGTTGTGAGCCCGGAGCAGTTCATCAGTGAGTACCTCATCATTCCTTGGCTTTTCCACAGGGCTTGCAGGGAATCAGAGGATCCTGATGCTGACAGCAAAGCTGCTCAGGTGTGAGTGCCTGATGCCAGAGGGAGGGATGAGTTCAGCTCCCCTTGGCACTCAGCCTTGCATCCAGCTGCAGCTATCCCCAAGGGCTGCTTGAATTGCTGCTGAAATTGTGAAACTGGTTTTTAGACTGAGCTTTAGGTAGCTGGTAAGGATGAGTTAGTTGGGTTGCTCCAAGCCCCTCCAACCTGGACTGGAACACTCTCCAGGATGGGGCAGCCACAGCTGCTCTGGGCACCCTGTGCCAGCCCCTCACCACCCTCTCAGGGAAGAATTCCTTCCCAATATCCCATCTAGCCCTGCCTCTGGCAGTGGGAAAGCCATTCCCTTGGTGCTGTCCCTCCAGGCCCTTGACCAAAATCCCTCTCCAGCTCTCTTTGAATCTACTTTAGATCCCCTTTAAATCCTCCTCACAGGCCAGACAGGCAGTGAGTGGGGAGGCAGCTCAGGGATTCACAGGATCTGAGCCAAACCCAGCACTGCTCCATGTCCCCAGGTGTCACATCCACACAGCTTTTGAATCCCTCCAGGGATGGGGACTCCACATCCTGGGCAGCTGTGCCAGGGCTGGACAACCCTTGCCATGAAATTCTTCCCTGTGAGGGTGGCACAGGGTGCCCAGAGAAGCTGTGGCTGCCCCTGGATCCCTGGAGGTGTCCAGGACCAAGGCCTTGGAGCAACCTGGGACAGTGGAACGTATCCCTGCCTATGGAAGGGGGTGGAATGAGATGAGCTTTAAGGTCCTTCCAGCCCAGAACATTCCATGATTTGATATTGTTTCGCCCATGTGCAGAGCTGCTCAACAAGGGGGGTTTTCTGGGAAAAGAAGGAAAAGAAAATTGTGTAATTCCTGCTTTTTCATGGGTTCATCTGACTCTGGGGCATTCATTTTCTGGAGTCTTGGGTGCATCATCCCTGTGATCCCACAGTGATTTGCAGTCAGAGACTGCTGCAAAAATCAGATTTAACTGCAGTTTACTGTGAGCCTGAATTGCCTGTTCCACACTGTGCCTGCTCCCACAGAAACCTTCGAGCACATGAAGAGGTCTGGAGATTACTACGTCACCGTGGTGGAGGACACCAACCTGGGGCAGATCGTTGCCACGGCAACGCTGGTTATAGAACATAAATTCACTCACTCCTGTGCCAAGGTAAATCCTGCAGCTGGGAAGGGAGGAAAAGAGCCTGGCCCTGACTCTGGGCATGCTGGTTTTATGGTGTTATTGTGTGGTGACAACCTCAAGTTCTATCAGGGGAGGTTTAGGTTGGATATTGGGAAAAATTTCCTTGTGGAAAAAGGTGGTCCAGGCCTGTACAGGCTGATCAGGGCTGTGGTGGAGTCCCCATCCCTGGAGGGATTTAAAATCCATGTGGATGTGGCACTTGGGGACATGGGTTAGTGGTGGCTTTGGCACTGCTGGGGAACAGTTGGGCTTAATGGTCTCAAAGGGCTTTTCCAACCTTAAAAATATAAATATTTTAAAAATATATTTTAAAATATCAAGTATTTTGTATATTAAGTAAAATATATCACATCCTTGAGTGCTGAGCTGATAGTAACAGGAGGTTTTGGCTTTTCCTAAGGAAAAAGGAGCACTGGGAGATCTGTCCCGTTGTGGTATGAGCCTTGGAAGGAGTCAGACGTGGTTCTGACAGAGCAGATGGCTGAGGATCCCCGTGCTGGGAGTCCCAGGCAGGCTGTGAACACAGGGAGCTGGAAGGGCAATTCCAAGGCTAACAAACACTTGTCTGTGTTTTCAGAGAGGCAGGATAGAAGACGTGGTGGTCAGCGGGGAGTGCAGAGGGAAGCAGCTTGGAAAACTGTGAGTATTCCCCACCTCTGGCATTCAGCAAGCCCTTTACACCTCACACCTTCCTGCCCAGCACCTGGGAAGAATTCAGCCAGCAGGGATCACCAGCTGGGCATAAAACGATCTGCAGGAAAACACAGGGAGTGCTGTCAGCCCTCAGTGTTGTGGCTGTGATAACAGAGCTCATTAAATATTCACCGACCCAGCATTTAATTGCTGATTTTTTGTCTTTTCCAGATTAACGTCCACCCTCACCTTGCTAAGTAAGAGACTGAACTGTTACAAAATCACGCTGGAGTGTCTGCCCAAAAATGTGGATTTCTACAAGAAGTTTGGCTATTTGGTATCTGATGAAAACTACATGTTTCAACGGTTCTTTAATTAACAGCTTCTAGGTGTTCTGGGTTCTTTTTTTTTTTCTTGGAAAGACTGTTGGTGGAGGAGCTTGTGCTACAAACATTCTCTCCGTGGAAAATTTCTATAGTTTATTGCTGCAGATATAACAATCCCTATAAATAATGAACATCAAATGTGTAAATCTTGGGGGAAAAAAAATTACTGAGGTTTTAGAAAGAGTCCTCTGGGTTAGAAAATAAGTTTAGAACTAATTTTTACTACTGTTGAGTCGAGGTGAAGTTTTCTGTTCCAGCTGAGTTACAAAGGACTCGTTAAAGGGATGGTTTTTAACCAAAGGTATATATTTTTATCTCAAATTTTTTCTCGCATTGTATTTTTCTAAAGGTTTGTGCTTCTTTTCTCAGCAGCCAAAGGACAGCCCTGGGACTGTCCTGGCTGTGCTGAGGGAAGGATGACGTAGCTGGGGAAGGGATGAGGCTTCTCTTATGCAGAATCAGTGACACACAACAGGCCTTAGTTCTGTTTTTTTCCATGGCACCTCATGGAAGTGCTGGAGGTGCCTCTGAAGTTTTCTAGGCACTGTTTTCCAAGACTGGATTTGTTACTGTTGGTGCAGGTTGGGGAAAATCCTTCCAGGCTGTGCTGAAAATGGATGTGTGCTTCTCACTGCAGGGCTCCTGCACTTTAGCTGATAACTTGGTTTTCAGGATAATTACTTTTTTTTTCTCTGACATAAAAACCCCAAATGTGGTTTGCAACAGGGCAGAGGGTAACAGGGATGCTGGAATGTCTGAAGGAACATATCCCATAGGGAGTGGGGTTCTGGCTGGTGATCACTGGGAAGGGGACTGGGATGGCAGGTTCAGCTTCACCTGAGGGAGCTGGGGGTGTTCAGCCCAAAAAAGCCTTAGAGACTTCCAGGGCCTGAAAAGGAGAGAAAGGGACTTTTGTACGGGCAGGACACAGGGATTGGCTTCCCACTGCCAGAGGGCAGGGTTAGATTGGATACTGGGAAGGAATTCCTGGCTGGGAGGGAGGGCAGGCCCTGGTATAGAATTCCCAGAGCAGCTGTGGCTGCCCCTGGATCCCTGGAAGTGCCCAAGGCCAGGCTGGACAGGGCTTGGAGCAGCCTGGGATGGTGGAAGGTGTTCCTGTTGGAATGAGATGAGTTTAAGGTCCTTTCCAACCCAAACCACTCTGGGATTTACTGAGCACCCCTGGCCCAGCCACTGGATCTCCAGAGGGCCAGGAGGGATTTCCACCTGTGGCACAACAAACCGGCACAGAAATCAACCCCCCTTCTCCCAAGGGATTGCTGCTCCTGCTGCTGTGGAATTTCTCTGGTGCTGCAAGGTTGGATCAATGATTTTAGCACTTTTGCCAGGGGTGAAAAGCAAAGAACATCCAAAGGCCTGTTGCCAGCAGTGGTGCTTTGTGTTTTGTGCGGGGAGTGACAAATGCCACAGCCATGAATAGGGCATTGTACCCAGCCTGGGTTGTTTGTGGGCAGCCAGGCCTTCCACACTGTCCTGCTTTGTGCTCTGGAGAGCGACTCTACAGTGCTGGGGGCTCTGCTTGATCTTCCTGAGGGTTCTCCACTCCATCCAGTGTCTCCTTGGTGATGTCTGCTTTATTTATTGATTATTTTTTTAAAGAATATCTTTGTTTAAGCTGAATAAATGATTGCCACCTGTACCTGGACTGTTTTTCATGGAGTGAGGATGTGCTTGTTGAGCAGCACCTGCTGCAGTCACTGTTCCCCTTGCCTAGGCTGAAAAGAACACTTTTTAAGCAGTTCCATGTAGAGCGACTCTACAGTGCTGGGGGCTCTGCTTGATCTTCCTGAGGGTTCTCCACTCCATCCAGTGTCTCCTTGGTGATGTCTGCTTTATTTATTGATTATTTTTTTAAAGAATATCTTTGTTTAAGCTGAATAAATGATTGCCACCTGTACCTGGACTGTTTTTCATGGAGTGAGGATGTGCTTGTTGAGCAGCACCTGCTGCAGTCACTGTTCCCCTTGCCTAGGCTGAAAAGAACACTTTTTAAGCAGTTCCATGGATTTCTGTCCCAGGAGAAAGCAGATGTGCTCCTCTGACAGCATCTGCATGGCTCAAGCCCTGACTCTCATTCTGTGCTTTCTGCTGGCCCAAGTGACTGAGGTGGATCTTCCTGCCTTTCACACTTGTAATTAATTCAGAATTTCCACGATTTAAAGTGGATTATTTGAATTCCATGGTATCTCCACCATGTAAAGAGCCCCAGGCCCTCATTAAGAGTTAATGAGAAGATCAGAGTGAGGAGCAGGTGCTGTGCCCTGCTCAGATCATTGTCGAACAGATGAATGGGGTTGAGAGCTGGGGTTTGTGGCTGCAGCACCACGGGCACAGCCCCTCGGGGCAGCTGAAGAGCTCTTTGTTCCTCCCAGAGGTGACATTCCCACCCTGTGCACAAACAGCAGCTGGAGAGCTGCAAGTGCCCAGCCTGGGGACTTGGAGGTGCCACGTGGGGTCAGGTGTGCCCCGGGACACCACAGTCACACAGGGGCTGCTTGAAACTGTCACAGGGACAGGGACAATGCCACAAGTGCCAGCTCTGCCTGGCCCTAGGGGAAGGCAACAGCAACTGCAGCAGCCCTGAAATTTATCCACAGTGCAAAGGGCTGAAGAGAGAAGAGCAAGGGCCCCAGTATGTTTATTATCTGTACATAAAAATAGATCTAAAATATAGCCATAAATATGTATATATAAAATCTGTATGTATGGATATGTATTTTATGTATATGTAAAATCTATATATGGGTATGTATTTTATGTATATATAAAATCTATATTGACAGATTTATAATGTGTATATATATATATACACACATCTAGAGAGACTACACATATATATATATATATGTATAAAATCAACCATGACCTTTTTTAGGCAAGCACCAAACCTTTCATAAATGTCTTTTCCCTGGACCACAAAGGCATCTGGGTACCTGTTTCAGATTCATATAATTATCTACAGCTATATAGATATTTTTATATATATTTGTATAAATATATTTAATCATACAAATAGTATCTATATAAAACCAGCAGTATTTGGACATAGAGTTGATTAATTTGGACATATAGTTGATCAATACTGGAGAATCCCAGACTGGTTTGGGTTGGAAGGGACCTCAAAGCCCATCTCATTCCACCCCCTGCCATGGACAGGGCCACTTCCACTATCCCAGTTTGCTCCAAGCCTTGTCCAGCCTTGCCTGGGACACTTTTTGGAGAGAACCAGCCCTAACAGCATTACCAGCTTCTCCAGAGGTTGAATGTTACCTCCTCGCTGTGATTTAAGTTTTTGGCTCTTTCCCACCCTGAGGAAGAGATTTCCAGCTCCTTCACTCTGCTTCCCCTAAGCTGGAAAAGGCAATTTCAGCACCTCAGTCCAGAGCTGTGGATTCCCAGAGATTTGGGTGTTGCAGTTTTCTGTTTGAACCTGGGAAATAAAGATAATAATTCACCCTCCACTTCTCCTTCCAGTCCACAGTGAGAGACCCTGCTTCCAATTCCTGCCTTTAGATCAACCCCCAAAACCAAATGTTGAAACAAACACCTCCTGGCAGTGAAACTCCAGCAGACAGACACAGGAAGCTTTAAATAGATGGCTTAGTAATAGATCTGAGGAAAATTAAATCTCAGAATCCCCTAGGATCTGACAGGCAGACAGACCAGAATGACTGTAAAAGGCACCAGGAGGGGGTAATGCCAGGGAAAAAAACTGGATTGATGAGAAATCCTTAGTCATGGAGCTTGTCAGCAGGAAGGGAGTGTTCCCAGGACCCCAGAGAGAACAGACACGGACATGGACCAGCCTGGAGATGAATCAGTGCCTTCCATCTGTGCTTCATCCCTCCCCTTCCCCAGGGAGCTGGAATTGCCAGGGATTTGATGCCTCCCAGCCCAGCTGGTGGCTGGCAGTGCCTGGGGGCTGTGCAGGGCCAGGCACAGCCCCGCTGCTCCAAAGGCCAGGAATGCATTTCCCAACAGCCCCAGAGCATTCCTTTATGGAGGGTCAAGTTCAGAGCAGGAACAAACCCTCTCCAACTGCAAACCAGCACTGGACACTGGCACAGTGCAGCTCTCCAGGAGATAAATCACTTCCTTTTTTTCCAGCTGAAAAGTTCCTACCTAAAGCATCACACTATTTATTGCAGATTTTTTCTCCCCTGAAGGAATTACTCTGCTCCATCACTGCTGCAGGTGGCAGAGGGTATCAGCAGGAACAGGAATGTGCTGCTGGATGCTCTGATCCCCAAACCCTGAGCCCATTTTTTCCCTGTTAAAACAAAGCTCAGACTTTTTTCCCTGCTTACCAAGCTCAGACTTCCCAAGCACACACGTTTTTCTAACAGCCTCACTCAGTCACCACAGTGCTCCCAAATCATTCCAGCCCTGGCTTTTAGGCAACAAACACTGGGAAATAAAGCAGATGCAGAACCAGGACTGTGCTTGCACAACCTCCGTGCTGCTGAGGCAAGAGAGTTACAGCTGCACAATCACCAATCTGAAAACCTTAAAGCACCAAGAATTGCTTTCTTAGCTCAGTCTAAGGTTTTACCAGAGCTGAGGTGAATCCTTTAAGTCTTCATCCCATTATGGGCAGTGCCCTGGGCCTCAGTTTTCAAAGACAAATCCAATTTTTACCTGAAATGATGCCACTACTGCCTTGTAACAGCAGCCACTCCTTGAAAACCAGCTTGAGGATGTTCTAGATAGTCCAACTTGAATTAACCTTATGTTTATGTTGTAAAGCACATTTCTGCCATAATACATACTGAGAACAAGGTGAGTTTTAGCAAACTTTTTCTTTACTAAAGTCTCTTGTTATAAATTACACAAATAACTTTATAAACAAATCCCCCCCCGCTTGCATTTTGTTTAAAGTAATAACTTTATATCATACAAATAAAGAAATTTCAAGTATGAAAAGTGCATTATTGCAATAATACCTCTTTGCAAGTCCAAAAATCTTGGTTTAGAATAAAACTGTAAAGTGTAAAAAAGGAGTAAAACAATCAGTGCCATCTATTCATTCAAGAAGTCCAACATCTTAAAAATGATGCTTAGTGTGTTGCAGAGGCAGATTTACATCTGAAAGCAACATGTAATTGAAAAGAAGCTATGTGTGTTCATTGTTTTGCATTAACTCTCGTTCTGGTTTTTGTGTGGTTTTCTTTTTCCCTAGTTTTCTTCACCTTTCTTGGCAGGAATTCTCACTACAACCAGTGCTTGTCCTCAGCCATCAGCCATTCTGTGCTGCTGCCACCTGCATGGTGCCAAGATCTTCATCCTCCTCGTGCATCCTCTTCAAACTTCCTGCAGGAGGCAAGAGGGAACTTCAGCCATGGCAAACCAGGACATTTAAACACTTCACAGTGAAGTTTAAACTCAGCTTGCACACCAAAATCCCTTCCCAAGAGCTTGGGATTCTGCTGCTGAAGGTTTGAAAAATCCCCTCACGCCCCCACCCAGCAGGAGAAGCTTCTCACCTGTGCTGCCAGGTGGGACTGAGAGGGATCTCTCCAGCTGCAGAGGTGACATCATCTGGATGGTTAATTTTGCTAGATAGATGGCTTCATATTCCTGGAAAGGTCCAAAAATGTGGATTGGAATTACTTTGGCATAAAGCTTTTTAAGGATGAGCAGGGCCAATTCAGGGAGCATCTCATATTCAGGCACAGATTTGGGAGGAGGAGAATTCTTTGTTGCTTTGACATGAATGACAAAAACCATCAGGAAGTCAGAGGAAAAGTTCAAGGATGACTAAAGAATGGATTTAAGGAACAACCCACATTTCCTTTGCAGCTCCTTCAGCACCAACCAAAACATTTCAGAGCCTCTTAATCACTGCACAAACCAGGATTTTTATTTCTCCTCCATTCCTGGATTTGCTTTGTCCAAAGCTTAACTCTAAGGAGCTGAGGTGCCCACTCATCTTCCTCCCAAGCTTTCCTCCAGCTCCTGACATTTCCTTGAGGCATATTTGTGTAAATATCTGTTTGGCAGGAAGATGATTCATTAAATGGCTTTTCAGTTATGATCAAGAATTTTAAAAAAGTCACCTGAAGTTGATGGACAAATCCAGCATTAGGATTAATACAGAATCTTCTTTCTTGGACATAAGTAAATGCATCCCTTAAAAAGAGAAGAAAACACTTCAGTGAAAAATATATAAAAGTCTCTGTGGTTTGAGTCTTCCTTCAGATTATCAGTTTTTCAGCACTACAGAACTCTAAACCCTTCCCAGAACTGGTTTTTACAGCTGAAATGGCTTGGCCAAAGCAGGAAGCAGCAGCTGTACAACTCTGTTTGCCCAGCTCACTTTCCTGTTCAGCACAGGCTCAGAGCAGCCCCTGGGGCTCTCCCAAGGTTTAATCCATGGATGGAGGCTGGTGCCCTCATTCCCTGAGCAGCAGGTGCCTGATTCTTTAAAAAAAGGGTGTAAACACAATTGCAGTGAAGGAAAATGAAATAATCAGCTCCTGGTGAAGTCTTAGGTAAGGCACTGAGACTGAGTGAAAACACAACAGTTTCTGTTCCCTCCAAAATCATGATTCACTCACACCACCTGATTTAAAACCTGAATAGCTCTTCTTACCTGTACTTCACCCCAAATGTTTCCATTATGTATGCAATCACTAAGGC